GGTTTACGGGAGGCTTGATCTGGTTTAGAGACATCTATAGATGAGAGATGTTCAGAGTGGGGGTGGCCCACACAGGGGTCACGTGGTTTACTGGAGGCTTGAGCTGGTTCAGAGAGAGAGATCTATAGATGAGAGATGTTCAGAGTGAGGGTGGCCCACACAGGGGTCACGTGGTTTACGGGAGGTTTGAGCTGGTTTAGAGAGAGAGACATCTATAGATGAGAGATGTTCAGAGTGGGGGTGGCGCACACAGGGGTCACGTGGTTTACGGGAGGCTTGATCTGGTTTAGAGAGAGAGACATCTATAGATGAGAGATGTTCAGAGTGGGGGTGGCCCACAAAGGGGTCACGTGGTTTACGGGAGGCTTGAGCTGGTATAGAGAGAGAGAGATCTATAGATGAGAGATGTTCAGAGTGGGGGTGGCCCACACAGGGGTCACGTGGTTTACGGCAGGTTTATATACTGTACACTGTATATATATCATGAGACCTCCTTTGCCAGTACCAAAATATAATAGGGTTTTCCCCTTTCATCTGGCAACAAAACAGCTGTGATAAGATGTTAAAACACCAAACTGAAACCAATTTACAAGGAATCATGTCTGCATTAACCACAATGCTTGTGGTCAAAATGCAAACAAAAAACACAGATAAATTAAGCATTGTCTTTGAAACTGATTGGTCCACACCAAAGACAGCTTTCTTTTGAGCCTCGTCTTAACGGTGTTATTGGCAACATAAAACAATGTTTGTGTCTATTTGTTTGTGTTTCTGACCTTGTGATGGGACTTTGTGGGATGAACTTTGAGATTTATAAAGGCACGGGGTGACCAATAAGCAATCGAATCGTTACACATCGCATGAAATCGAATCGTCACACAACGCATGCAATAGAATCGTCACACAACGCATGAAATCGAATCGTCACACAACGCATGAAATCGAATCGTCACACAACGCATGCAATGGGAACCGCACAGCAAGGTCAGCAAACATCGCCCCCTGCCGCCGGGCAGCAGACGAAGGAACCGGTCGCCTGACCCTCCCTTAGGTCGACTCGGCCTCAAATGAGTAGCCGGTGTAGCGGTGTGTCGTAAACATCGCCAGTGGGGGAGACAAAGGCGGCCGGGGCCTGGTTGCTGGCCACCCCCGCTGCTACTACGCTAGCGGCACTTGTCCCAACAGCATGTTGAAGGCTACACGGGGGATCTTTGTCTTTGCGTAGCTCAGGAAGCATGACCGTGGTTCATCTGCGAGGAAGTTGATAAGCGTTGGCAGCAGATTTGCGGCGAACAATTGTATATTTATTTTGTTGTTGTAAGTGTTTATAAAGGCGCGGCAGAGCCAGCAAAAGGGGCTTTCACGGTTCCGTACAGAAAGTGTAAAAAAAAAGCATTTGTAGTTTATTGAACATATCTTAGGAAATAAAAACGGGGGTTTTAGTTGCTTTCTAAATTGGGAGAAATCTCAGCGGTCGGACGCAGAGAGCGGTTCCAAATCTGAGCGCAGCAAAAGGCACTGGAAAAGGGCCAAGCCCCGAAACGTTTTTTTGTCCCGAACGGCGGTGACCGACAAGGCGGCGCAGCTGAGGAATTCTTGAACCGATCCGAGGGCCCCCCCCCCAACCGCCCCCCCTTAGGTCGACTCAGCCTCAAATGAGTGACCGGTGCGAGGTGTTGGTAAACGTCGCCACTGGGGGGGGGGCCCACGGGGGGGGGCCCACGGGGGGGGGGGCCCGCGGGGGGGGGGCCCGCGGGGGGGGCCGCTCGCTCATCGTGTGCCGGTTCCGGCGGCCTTCAAAGGCCCCACCGCTACTCGCCAAAGGCGCTTGCCCCCGAACGGTCTTCGTAGCCCGGGGTGAGCGGCCCGGGATGGGCAGGCCGGGTGGGCAGCCCACGGTGGGCAGCCCATGGTGGGCAGGCCGGAGTGAGCTGTAAAAGCGTGGTAGAGTTTATCGGTCAAATAAATATTGGAGGCGATTGCTTGAGCGAGTGCTTTGTGAGTTAAAGCACCGTCATTTGAATTGCTCCTCAGGTGCGGGCCAATCAGTTTCACGGACCACGTGCTGTACATTATCAACGCATATTTGTGTGCGTGTATGATCTTGGTATCATAATAAATGTGTGGTGAATGCAGGCTTGATGCCTTTACCTAATTGCTGTCTATTTGGTGAATTTCTTGAGGTTCGCCGATGTGTCCTGCCATTTTAAAGCTCTGATTAAAGAAATAATCATTATTGGAATTCCATGAGAACTGGTGAAATCGTTCATCTGTGATTAGCTACGCTCGCTTGCCCGGACAGAGCCCTCGGTTACTCTGAACACTCCTCTGCTTTTCACCAAGGTCCTGACAAAGTGTTTGTCAGTCGGGGGCGGATGGAAGATGATTTCCTGTGCACCTACGTACGGTGCGAAAGAGGTGCAACGTACATAGCTGTCAGCCCATACGGTTTACTCCGTATTCATTATTGGTCACCCCGTGCCCCTTATAAATCTCAACGTTCATCCCACAAAGTCCCATCACAAGGGAGAAACACAAAGACATTTGTTTGTGCCCGTATAGAAACGACTGTACGCCGTGTGGACCTGAAAACTCAATTTCCCTGTACAAGAATACGGGGTAAACCGTGTGGGTTGACAGCTGTGATGATGATGATGATGAAACATCGTCTCTGGCTGAGTTGTGGGATGTCTGTGCAAGCCAGCCGGATGTATCGGCTGGGGCTACGCCCTGGTCCGCTCCACGAGACAGATTTTCACAAATGAGGTTTTTGTTCCTTCTTCCAATTCCTGTTTTAAATAATTTCTTGTATGTGTAATGACGACTTGACACACTTCTCTTGAGATGGCACTTTATTGAAAACACTTCACTTGACATCAGGCGGAGAACCCCACTGTAACAGCCCCGAGTCTCCCACGCATCTCCCCCTTGTATACCAACACGAGGCCACGCCCCCCCTTATCGATCATTCTCGCCGACTCTGGACGCTCGCTCCACCGGCAGACTCCACCATCCTCGTCCGTCGCCTGACCACACTTCCTTCTCGATCATTCCTATAGCCACCAGTCCCTTCGCACTCACAGCTGATTCTCCTGTCATTACCTCCCGTGGCCACCAGTCCCTTCACACTCACAACTGATACCCCTGTCATTACCTCTCGTGGCCACCAGTCCCTTCACACTCACAACTGATACCCCTGTCATTACCTCCCTGTAGCCACCAGTCCCTTCACACTCAGAGCTGACTCCCCTGTCATTACTTCCCGTGGCCACCAATCCCTTCGCACTCACAGCTGATTCCCCTGTCATTACCTACTGTGGCCACCAGTCCCTTCACACTCACAGCTGATACCCCTGTCATTACCTCCCGTAGCCACCAGTCCCTTCACACTCACAGCTGATACTCCTGTCATTATCTCCCATGGCCACCAGTCCCTTCGCACTCACAACTGATACCCCTGTCATTACCTCCCGTGACCACCGGTCCCTTCACACTCACAACTGATACCCCTGTCATTATCTCACGTGGTCACCAGTCCCTTCACACTCACAGCTGACTCCCCTGTCATTACCTCCCATGGCCACCAGTCCCTTCGCACTCACAACTGATACCCCTGTAATTACTTCACGTGGCCAATAGTCCACTCACAGCGCATGTAGGCTAGACTGAAATTACATATGTATATGAATGTTTGAGCAAATTTGGGATTAAGCCACGTGCTGGCGGAGTTAATGGACGGCTCATTGGGGCTGACACTCAACATTTCCCATGCGTAGCGCGACTTTGCCGGGTACTGAATTGCTTTTCTGCAAGTTTCAAGTATGTCCTGTTTCTGCTGCGTTGTAAGCGGGGTGCGAGAGAATTCAAGAGACTCATTTGACCTGGGGGGGCATCAGTCTGCCACTCGGGGGTGACGATGATTGCTGCTGCTGCCGCTGCTGCTGCTGTATCAGTGTGTGTAACAGACTGTTGGGGCACTTGCCACACAGGTGGTGCATCAGCGACTCATCTCAGTCAGTCGACCCGTGGCACTTGCTGGGTCTGTACCGTGACCGCCTGCCAGCGGGCGTTCGACACTTCACGTGGCCTCAACGTGCACCTAGCCTGGCACAGGCGCCGTGGTGACGCCACCGCCACTTAGGGGCGAATGACGGTTCTTGTTGTTGTTGTTGTGTACAATCGTGATGTGGGGAGCGGTAGTGTAGCGGTTAGCGGCGCTACCGCTGCGAACCCGGCGACCCAGGTTCGACTCCCGCTCAGAGCCACCAACACCAGTGACGATTATTTAAATCGTATCGTGGGCCTTCCCTAGGTCGACTCAGCCTCAAATGAGTACCCGGTGCGTTGTGTAAAAATCATCGTCACTGGGGAGACGAAGGCGGCCGGGCGTGGTGCTGGCCACCTACCGCCACGTGCGGCGCGTGCCCTCGTCCTGGCCACCTCACAGAAGGCTGGCGAACCTTGTCCTGGCTTCACCCGGGATTGTTCGTCATCAATGTTGCCCCACAGCACAATGACACCGCTCGACACAATGCATTTACACGTTCGTATGCACGCACTTCTTTCGTGCCGTACGTCGCCGACCGTGCTAATCGGAGTCGCGGGGGAAACTGCACGCGCGGTATTTCTCCGTCCATGATATGTTCTGGGTGGAGGTGTGGTGTTTGTTCTTTTGTAAATCAGAGGTGGCAACCCCTAACCTCAGGGCCCCGCACGCGTTGCTGGGCAGCCCAGGTGGTCACCCCACGCTCTCGCTCAAGGGAACCTCGACCCCCAGATTCACCGGCTCTCTGGAGCTCGCCGGTCTCGTGGTTTGGCCCTGAGAATCACTCCATGGATTCTCCTCGTGAGCGCGTGACACATCGGCAGCGAGAACATTTCCGCTAAACCGAGAATTGGGCAACACGGGTTGCCGGTATGTGCCTGCCGCAAAATTGACACACGGAGGAAGCGAGCCGAAACGAGAAACCGCTGTCGAAGGTTCTCTGCACCACCACCACCACCGCCACCACCCCGCCCCGCCCGCGATGTTCTGAGATTCGTTGGCGACCAAACGCAGCCGGTCGCAAACCAAGTCGGCTACTCCGTCCGCCACGTTCGCAGAGCGTCTCTCCCCCTCGTCTCAGCCGCGATGAGCGCGCGGATGGAAGATGTCGCCTTGCTGCTGGCCACGTCCGTGCTGAGCTGCTGGCAGAATGGTGAGGACTGTGTGTGTGTGTACGTGTGTGTGTGTACGTGTGTATGTGTGTACGTGTGTGTGTGTACGTGTGTGTGTTTTCTCATTTCAGTTCTCCACTCAACGATCGAGGGTTTTCGTACGCTGGGGCGCTCAATGCCCCGGCGTCTGAAAGCGTCTCCCAACCATCACGCCTCGTCCCCATCGTTCCGATGCCAAGCTGTGGTGGTTGTCTCCTTTAGCCTAGGGGACCCTCCCCCCCACTAACGGCAGCTATCCCCGTGCAGCACAAGGCGGAGGTTACATGGCACGTGTGTGTGTGTGTGTACATTGTACGTACGTTGAACTTCGTTCGCACAGCTACGTGTGGCTCCGGCGGCTTCCGAACATCGGAAGGAAGAGCGTTCCAGACGGCCGCGGTAGAACATCTGAAAGCGCCGCGCGACGATGCGGTGACGGCCGTCTTTGTTCTCGTAGTGATTTGTCCTCCTTGATGACGAGGTCACCAAGGAGGATAAACCATCGCCACGCGAACTGTGGACATGCTTGCAGCGGCGGCTTCTGGCTCAGCGCGGCGCTTTCAGACGCGCTCTCAAATCATCGAAGATTGAAGACACCGTGGGACAGAAGGCAGGCGTCAGGGTAGAGCTGAGGCCAAATTCAATTTCATTTCACACCACCCATGCGCAACACAAGTGAGACTTGTTGTTGTTGTTGAGAAGTTGTTATCCGATTGGTCCAGATAATCGAATCGATGATCGGTAGATAAAATGATGACTTAAATGATCGCAGCAACAACAACACAAATCGACACATTAGTCAGTAACGATTAGGCACCTTAGGGGCGCCACGGTGGCTAGGAGATGTTAACTACCTCGCCAGGTGTGCAGGGGGTCGTGGGTTGGATCCTGACCCTGACGAAGCCTGCTGCTGCTGTGTATTTGGAGTTTGCGTGTCTCTCTCTCATCATCATCACGGTGGCTAGGAGATGTTAACTATCTCGCCTGGTATGCAGGGGGTCGTGGGTTGGATCCTGACCTTGACGAAGCCTGCTGCTGCTGTGTATTTGGAGTTTGCATGTCTCTCTCTCATCATCATCACGGTGGCTAGGAGATGTTAACTACCTCGCATGGTATGCAGGGGGTCGTGGATTGGATCCTGACCCTGACGAAGCCTGCTGCTGCTGTGTATTTGGAGTTTGCATGTCTCTCTCTCATCATCATCACGGTGGCTAGGAGATGTTAACTACCTCGCCTGGTATGCAGGGGGTCGTGGATTGGATCCTGACCCTGACGAAGCCTGCTGCTGCTGCTGTGTATTTGGAGTTTGCATGTCTCTCTCTCTCTCATCATCATCACGGTGGCTAGGAGATGTTAACTACCTCGTCTGGTATGCAGGGGGTCGTGGATTGGATCCTGACCCTGACGAAGCCTGCTGCTGCTGTGTATTTGGAGTTTGCATGCTCTCCCGTTGTCCCCTCCATGTTTAGAGACGCGCGTTTCGAGGTGTGAGTGTCCACGCGTCGATCAGCCACGTCACTCAGCCATCATTTGTGGCCCGGTCGCTTCTGAATGATCGCTCCGTAGCTCAGCGGCGCCTTGCGTGGTGAAATAAAAAAAATGCATAGTTTAGTTTTAAAGTTATAAATTATGACAAGTGACGTTTTGGGATGTGGTCCTTCTTCGTTGCACATGATGGAGAAGTGAAAACATCCACGGATGCATCCGTCTATGGGTAATGTTAGTCTATGGGTAATGTTAGTCTATGGGCAATGTAGTCTATGGGCAATGTTAGTCTATGGGCAATGTTAGTCTATGGGCAATGTTAGTCTAAGGGCAATGCTAGTCTATGGGCTGTGTTAGTCTATGGGCAATGTTAGTCTATGGGCAATGTTAGTCTATGGGCAATGCTAGCCTATGGATAATGTTAGTCTATGGGCAATGTTAGTATATACACAATGCTAGTCTATGGGCAATGCTAGTATATAAACAATGCTAGTCTATGGGTAATGTTAGTCTATGGGCAATGTTAGTCTATGGGCAATGTTAGTCTATGGGCAATGTTAGTCTATGGGCAATGCTAGTCTATGCGCAATGTTAGTCTATGGGCAATGTTAATCTATGGGCAATGTTAGTCTATGGGTAACGTTAGTCTATGGGTAATGTTAGTCTATGGGCAATGTTAGTCTATGGGTAACGTTAGTCTATGGGCAATGTTAGTATATAAGCAATGCTAGTATATGGGCAATGTTAGTATATAAGCAATGCTAGTATATGGGCAATGTTAGTATATAAACAATGCTAGTATATGGGCAATGTTAGTATATAAGCAATGCTAGTATATGGGCAATGTTAGTATATAAACAATGCTAGTATATGGGCAATGTTAGTATATAAACAATGTTAGTATATAAGCAATGCTAGTATATGGGCAATGTTAGTATATAAACAATGCTAGTATATGGGCAATGTTAGTATATAAACAATGCTAGTCTATGGGTAATGTTAGTATATAAACAATGTTAGTATATAAGCAATGCTAGTATATGGGCAATGTTAGTCTATGGGCAATGTTAGTATATAAACAATGTTAGTCTATGGGTAATGTTAGTCTATGGGTAATGTTAGTCTATGGGCAATGTTAGTCTATGGGCAATGTTAGTATATAAACAATGTTAGTCTATGGGCAATGTTAGTCTATGGGTAATGTTAGTCTATGGGCAATGTTAGTCTATGGGCAACGTTAGTATATAAACAATGTTAGTCTATGGGCAATGTTAGTCTATGGGTAATGTTAGTCTATGGGCAATGTTAGTCTATGGGCAACGTTAGTATATAAACAATGCTAGTCTATGGGCCGAGCCAAGCCGGCTGAAGCCGCGCCGAGCCGCCGGCCCACGGGGATGAGAACACTCACGGCGTTCCGTGCCCTTGTGCCTCCCCCCTCCCCCCAGCCTACTTCCTCCAGATGGTGGTGAAGATGCGCAGGAAGTACAACATCAAGCATCCCTTCGTCACGGGCAACACCGAGCTGGAGACCGTCTACAGGGCCAAGTGAGCCACACCACCACTCCACTACCGCCTCCGTCTGCCCCCTCTCCACCTCCTAACCTCGGCTCTTAGGTCATCATAACAGCGCAGTCTGTTCTGCTATAACGCGGCGATAGAAGCTGTCGTTGCGTTCCCGTTGTGGAATAATCGCGTTATGATGAATGATAATACGTGGATGTAGGGAATACAGCGCACCCCGCGATGACATGCGAGATGCGTACGCAGGCCGAACAAAGGCTGAGGTGCGACGAGAAGCATCCAGCAGCATCCCGCGTGAGAAGTATCCAGCAGCATCCCGCGCGAGAAGCATCCAGCAGCATTGAACGACGACGCTTATTCCTACTCGCGCTGCGACGCAGCTCCGTTCACTCGATCACGTTACATCCAATTCGCCATCCGCGTTCTAAAAAAATTAATGTGTTCCCCTAATACATTCACCGCGTTGAATCCAATACGCATTGCAGGAGAACAGACTATTATTATTATTATTCATGTGTTCCAGCAGCGCTCAGGTCGAACGAGTCTGGCGCGCTGTGTGCGACGATGTGACGTCTTTCTGTACCATGATGATGGTGATGATATTATTTCGTACGGCTACTGATGTGGATGCAGAGCCACAACTACAATTTTAGATTTGGGTGGCCAAGCCCAGGTAACGGCGTCAGCAGAAGCAGCGGAGTAGCGTATCATCGTCGCTGTGATGTCGACTTCGTATTTGTGGATGACCACAGTCGCACAGTGCGACTGGAGAGTTTTTAATTTTCAATTTAATGACGATGATGACGATGACGATGACGACGATGTTGATTATACAATGATGACGATGATGACGACGACAATGATGACGACGATGATGATGTCGATGATGATGACGACAATGATGACGACGACGACGATGATGATGACAATGATGATGACGATGATGATTTAGGTTCAGTTTACCATGGGAGTCCAGTTTACCATAGAAGTCCAGTTTACCGTAGAAGTCAAGTCTACCATGGGAGTCCAGTTTACCATGGGAGTCCAGTTTACCATGGGAGTCCAGTTTACCATAGAAGTCCAGTTTACCATGGGAGTCCAGTTTACCATAGAAGTCCAGTCTACCATGGGAGTCCAGTTTACCATAGAAGTCCAGTTTACCATAGAAGTCAAGTCTACCATGGGAGTTTAGTCTACGATGGGAGTCCAGTTTGCCATAGAAGTCCAGTTTACCATGGGAGTCCAGTTTACCATAGAAATCAAGTTTACCATGGCAGTCCAGTTTACCATGGGAGTCCAGTTTACCATGGGAGTCCAGTTTACCATAGAAGTCAATTCTACCATAGGAGTCCAGTTTACCATGGGAGTCCAGTTTACCATGGGAGTCAAGTCTACCATGGGAGTCCAGTTTACCATGGGAGTCCAGTTTACCATAGAAGTCTAGTGTACCATGGGGGTCTAGTTTACCATGGGAGTCCAGTTTACCATGGGAGTCCAGTTTAACATAGAAGTCCAGTTTACCATGGGAGTCCAGTTTACCATAGAAGTCCAGTCTACCATGGGAGTCCAGTTTACAATGTGAGTCCAGTCTACCATGGGAGTCCAGTTTACCATAGGAGTCCAGTTTACCATAGAAGTCAAGTCTACCATGGGAGTCAAGTCTACCACGGGAGTCCAGTTTACCATAGAAGTCCAGTTTACCATAGAAGTCCAGTTTACCATGGGAGTCCAGTTTACCATAGAAGTCAAGTTTACCATGGGAGTCCAGTTTACCATGGGAGTCCAGTTTACCATAGAAGTCCACTTTACCATGGGAGTCCAGTTTACCATGGGAGTCCAGTTTACCATAGAAGTCCACTTTACCATAGAAGTCCACTTTACCATGGGAGTCCAGTTTACCATAGAAGTCCAGTTTACCATGGGAGTCCAGTCTACCATGGGAGTCCAGTCTACCATGGGAGTCCAGTTTACCATGGGAATCCAGTTTACCAAAGAAGTCCAGTCTACCATAGAAGTCCAGTTTACCATAGAAGTCAAGTCTACCATGGGAGTCCCGTTTACCATGGGAGTCCAGTTTACCATGGGTGTCCAGTTTACCATGGGAGTCCAGTTTACCATGGGAGTCCAGTCTACCATGGGAGTCCAGTTTACCATGGGAGTCCAGATTACCATGGGAGTCCAGTTTACCATGGGAGTCCAGTTTACGATAGAAGTCCAGTCTACCATGGGAGTCCAGATTACAATGTGAGTCCAGTCTACCATGGGAGTCCAGTTTACCATAGGAGTCCAGTTTACCATAGAAGTCAAGTCTACCATGGGAGTCAAGTCTACCACGGGAGTCCGGTTTACCATAGAAGTCCAGTTTACCATAGAAGTCCAGTTTACCATGGGAGTCCAGTTTACCATAGAAGTCCAGTTTACCATAGAAGTCCAGTTTACCATGGGAGTCCAGTTTACCATGGGAGTCCAGTTTACCATAGAAGTCCACTTTACCATGGGAGTCCAGTTTACCATGGGAGTCCAGTTTACCATAGAAGTCCACTTTACCATAGAAGTCCACTTTACCATGGGAGTCCAGTTTACCATAGAAGTCCAGTTTACCATGGGAGTCCAGTCTACCATGGGAGTCCAGTCTACCATGGGAGTCCAGTTTACTATGGGAATCCAGTTTACCATAGAAGTCCAGTCTACCATAGAAGTCCAGTTTACCATAGAAGTCAAGTCTACCATGGGAGACCCGTTTACCATGGGAGTCCAGTTTACCATGGGTGTCCAGTTTACCATGGGAGTCCAGTTTACCATGGGAGTCCAGTCTACCATGGGAGTCCAGTTTACCATGGGAGTCCAGATTACCATGGGAGTCCAGTTTACCATAGAAATCAAGTTTACCATGGCATCCAGTTTACCATGGGAGTCCAGTTTACCATGGGAGTCCAGTTTACCATAGAAGTCAATTCTACCATAGGAGTCCAGTTTACCATGGGAGTCCAGTTTACCATGGGAGTCAAGTCTACCATGGGAGTCCAGTTTACCATGGGAGTCCAGTTTACCATAGAAGTCTAGTGTACCATGGGGGTCTAGTTTACCATGGGAGTCCAGTTTACCATGGGAGTCCAGTTTAACATAGAAGTCCAGTTTACCATGGGAGTCCAGTTTGCAATAGAAGTCCAGTCTACCATGGGAGTCCAGTTTACAATGTGAGTCCAGTCTAACATGGGAGTCCAGTTTACCATAGGAGTCCAGTTTACCATAGAAGTCAAGTCTACCATGGGAGTCCAGTCTACCATGGGAGTCCAGTCTACCATGGGAGTCCAGTTTACCATGGGAATCCAGTTTACCATAGAAGTCCAGTCTACCATAGAAGTCCAGTTTACCATAGAAGTCAAGTCTACCATGGGAGTCCCGTTTACCATGGGAGTCCAGTTTACCATGGGTGTCCAGTTTACCATGGGAGTCCAGTTTACCATGGGAGTCCAGTCTACCATGGGAGTCCAGTTTACCATGGGAGTCCAGATTACCATGGGAGTCCAGTTTACCATGGGAGTCCAGTTTACCATAGAAGTCCAGTCTACCATGGGAGTCCAGTTTACAATGTGAGTCCAGTCTACCATGGGAGTCCAGTTTACCATAGGAGTCCAGTTTACCATAGAAGTCAAGTCTACCATGGGAGTCAAGTCTACCACGGGAGTCCAGTTTACCATAGAAGTCCAGTTTACCATAGAAGTCCAGTTTACCATGGGAGTCCAGTTTACCATAGAAGTCCAGTTTACCATAGAAGTCCAGTTTACCATGGGAGTCCAGTTTACCATGGGAGTCCAGTTTACCATAGAAGTCCACTTTACCATGGGAGTCCAGTTTACCATGGGAGTCCAGTTTACCATAGAAGTCCACTTTACCATAGAAGTCCACTTTACCATGGGAGTCCAGTTTACCATAGAAGTCCAGTTTACCATGGGAGTCCAGTCTACCATGGGAGTCCAGTCTACCATGGGAGTCCAGTTTACCATGGGAATCCAGTTTACCATAGAAGTCCAGTCTACCATAGAAGTTCAGTTTACCATAGAAGTCAAGTCTACCATGGTAGTCCCGTTTACCATGGGAGTCCAGTTTACCATGGGTGTCCAGTTTACCATGGGAGTCCAGTTTACCATGGGAGTCCAGTCTACCATTGGAGTCCAGTTTACCATGGGAGTCCAGATTACCATGGGAGTCCAGTTTACCATAGAAATCAAGTTTACCATGGCAGCCAGTTTACCATGGGAGTCCAGTTTACCATGGGAGTCCAGTTTACCATAGAAGTCAATTTTACCATAGGAGTCCAGTTTACCATGGGAGTCCAGTTTACCATGGGAGTCCAGTTTACCATGGGAGTCCAGTTTAACATAGAAGTCCAGTTTACCATGGGAGTCCAGTTTACCATAGAAGTCCAGTCTACCATGGGAGTCCAGTTTACAATGTGATTCCAGTCTACCATGGGAGTCCAGTTTACCATAGGAGTCCAGTTTACCATAGAAGTCAAGTCTACCATGGGAGTCAAGTCTACCACGGGAGTCCAGTTTACCATAGAAGTCCAGTTTACCATAGAAGTCCAGTTTACCATGGGAGTCCAGTTTACCATAGAAGTCCAGTTTACCATAGAAGTCCAGTTTACCATGGGAGTCCAGTTTACCATGGGAGTCCAGTTTACCATAGAAGTCCCTTTTACCATGGGAGTCCAGTTTACCATGGGAGTCCAGTTTACCATAGAAGTCCACTTTACCATAGAAGTCCACTTTACCATGGGAGTCCAGTTTACCATAGAAGTCCAGTTTACCATGGGAGTCCAGTCTACCATGGGAGTCCAGTCTACCATGGGAGTCCAGTTTACCATAGGAATCCAGTTTACCATAGAAATCCAGTCTACCATAGAAGTCCAGTTTACCATAGAAGTCAAGTCTACCATGGGAGTCCCGTTTACCATGGGAGTCCAGTTTACCATGGGTGTCCAGTTTACCATGGGAGTCCAGTTTACCATAGAAGTCCAG